AAATTTTTTTGAGGACTGTTTTTCATTTGATTGTCAAGTTTCATTTTACAGTTCTATATACGATCTTAGAATGCGATAGTAGCAGGTCTGATTGGTGTGATGCAATGGACCGGAGGGGTATATGCTCGCATGGCAGAAGTAAGGAGTGAAACAACGGTAGTTTTGTCTTTGTTGAAACTGTGTATGTGTATAGTTAAAATGAAGTTCTCCCAGACTGAAAAGTACACTGTGGAATCAGAAGGAGCCATGAGAACATTGCTTGTTGCTCGTGGTTACCTCTACTCAATTGATGTCCGACGGTTTCAGTTCTGGTAATTTGATTTTCAAGGATTTCTTCTTTTAGAAGTTATGGAGGTAAAAAGTCTACTATAGCGTGTGGTGCTACCCGCTTTGGTCAGCATGAAATTGTTGCATTTCTTTCATACACTACGGTATGACCTTACGATATCATGAGCAAAGGTGGTGAATTAAACCACAAAGGGACTTGATTCAGGATTGCGGCGTCTTGTTGACTCTTACTGAGGATCGTATCCTCAATGGCACCAAAATGGGATCGGCATTCGGTTACGCGGTCGAAAATGCTGATTTGAACAACGATGGGTTTGTAAGATTATGCTTTCGTCTACTTCCTTTTTTCAAACAACATTTCAGCTTAGGTGACACCTGGTTATCGGTGCGCCATTCGAGCAACGCTTCAATTCTGATCGCCATTTTGGAAGAGTTGCCCATGTTCACTACTCGCAGAGTGATGAGCGAAATAAGGTACTGTAATTACTAATGCTACCAAATTTCTTCATGAAGACTTGCGCTTTTGAGTTCGAATTACAAACATTCATTCTTCTATCATTCTAAAGACCTTTTACATTTAGTCTTGGCGACAGTAAACTAGATCATGTCGTGGAGACAAGGATGATTTTAACGGAATGGTATAATTTGGATAACTTACTACTGGGACTAGAAAGGATGTGTTTGAGCTTGTTGAAAAAGTGTGCAATGGCGTTCTCAAGTCCCATTCACGAAATAGATGACAGCAAATTGGTCCTGACAGGATAACCTGTTAGAACTTGAAATTTTCATTGCTCAGGCTTCGCCAAAGTTGAGCTTCACTGAGCCACGGTGTCATCTCGTTCGCACTTGTGCCCGAATACCTTCTGTCACATAGAGTAGTTCATGAACTCTCGGATAGTGACATAATGGAGGTGAGGGTGGACATGGCTGCCACTTCATCGGCGGCTAGTGAATATCCTCTGTCATACTGCCCTATTTGTGATGAGGGCCTGAGGGATCATATGAGCCTCGCTCGTCGTTGTGACGACAGGCATAGCGATGTGGGAGCGAATGGCAAGTCACAAGACTAT